AAAATTAGGCAGGCTAGTTTTTTCATGCACATCGCAAATAGACAAGGAGACAGTGGGTCTCCTCGATGCGAACCATGGCTTAAAAAAGAAGGTGTTTTCAGGCTAATAGCTGGAGACCGAAAACAAAATTTAGGTTTATTTCTTTACTTAAAAGTAATTTTTTTAAAGTAAATTTAAAATAATAAATTATTTTTTGATGTTTAATAGTATAATAAAAATCAAGTTAGAAAATATTTTCTAGTATTTGGCTATATCATAAAAAAAACTGAAAAATAACTTATTAATATTTTATTTTTTAAAATTTATTGAAGTAATTGGAAACAAGTCTTATAAATTAAAAAGTTAACTGAGAATGAAATTGAAAAAAATATTTTTATAAATTATCTTAAAGAAAATAAATAATAATTAAAATAATAAAGATCAAATCTAACAAATTAAAAAATTAAAAGATGAAAAAATTAAAATAATAATAATTACCATTTTATAAATTATTCCAAATAAAATAAGTATCAATTAAAAGAATTAGAATCAAATTTGATAGATAAAAAATTTTAATTAAAAAATTATAAGGAAAAGCAAATAACAAATATAAAATAAGGACTAAAGTTAATATAAAAACTTAAATTATAAGGGATCAAATTGAAAAAAAATATTCAAAACAATACACACACACACACACACATATATATATCAAAAGTTTGAGAACCAAATTTGATATAATCAGTAAATAATATAACATTTCTAAATTTTTTATAAGTTTTGAAAAGTGTTTTCCATCCAAAATAAAAGGAAAACTCTTTCTTGAAAACCAAGCCACAATTTTCTTTGACTGAAAAGTGTTTTTCGTTGACCAACTTTTCTAATAATAAACAAACACAAAAAAGGAAAGTGATTTCTAGAAAACTACTTTCCATCAAACAAACGCCCCTTAATCAATCTAATAATGCTTACCCTATTAGACAAAAATATAAATCATATCTTGAAACCTCACTTAAATAGCTTAAGTTTTTGGGTTGAAATAATTCTTTTATGTGGTATTAAAACTTTGATAATCAATCGATCACGAGTTTTAACCTTATTATCCCTATTTATTTGATAAAAAATAAGTATAAGGTAATGTGGATTTGTGTAAATTTCAGCCTCAAAGAGCTTTTACTTAAAAAGATGTATTAGAAAATAATATAAATCATATCTTAAAATCTCACATAAATAGCTTATATTATTGAGTTGAGACAATTATATGACAACCCTAACTCTTCCAAAATTGATTGTAGGAAACCCTAATTTAGCCTGTCATAGGTCTTTTCAAGATCAATCTTCGCAACCAAGCAACCATGCCTTCTTTTGGTCTTATACATGTAGGGCAACACTTCTTGAGCAATTAAGACATTATCTGTGTTGTATTACATTCAGGAATGAAACTGCTTTGAAGTGGACCAATAAGAGCATCTAGGTAAGGACACAGCCTGTTGACCAAGAACGTTATAATTCACTACCAGAAATTCGCTAAATAGCAATGGATTTACCGACGGAATAATTCTGTTGGTAATTTGAGGTTGAAATTACCGACGGTTATATTCCGTCCGTAATTCAATCGGTAATCACCGACGACAATTTTTCATCGATAATTACTAATTGAATTACGGACAGAAACGTCACCGTCATAAAAAAAAACGGGTAGCTAATGTGAAGGTTTTGGCGGGTTATTTTTTCAGACGGAATCATCGACGGATTCAAAAAGACAGGCCATACGGCGATTGCCATTTATATTGCCAATGGATTCACCAACGGATTTGAAATGGTAGATTCGTACGGTGACGTGTTGATTGTTCCGTCAGAATCATTGACGGTTTCACCGATGGATTTTTCGTCTGTGAAACCATCGAGAAAAGTTAATATATGTACACGCTGCCAACCCTCTCCTCTTCTATTTCTCCTACTTTTTCCTAATCCCAACTCTCCCCATCAGTAAACAACCAACTCCCCATCCCCCCCAAACAAAAATCTCCCTCATATCAGCACAACAAGTTATATTTCATGAAGTTTTGTGGTCACAGCATTCGTGTTTTGATTTACCAACGGATTTTATCAATTTTTGTAAGTAATTCTTTCTTTTTAAATCTTAACATTTAATTAAATGTCAATTTTTTTTTAGTATATGTATTTTGTTAGTAAATGTACATGTTTTATTGTTATTTGTCAAACAAACTTGTAGTATATGAATGTATAATTCTATACCTATTATGGTTTGTTTTAGATTTTGTAAGATTGTATTTGTTTGTAAATTGTTAAAACTTTATGGAACTACCGAAGTACAAGTGTTATTTTGAAAGAATTAATAGCTTACTTATTGGATCCGTTTAAAGTTTTGTCAATGGTATTGCGGAGTGGTAATTTCTCTGTAAATTTATATATTTTAATTTGTATAGACGTTGATAAATGATAATGAATATTTAATATTTATGAGAAGTTGTGATTGGTTTGTTGGATAATCTTGAGGTAAAGTAATATTTTTGCAAGTTTATTTACGTAACTTAGTTAATTAATACATTATATCATCATAATTTTATAGAGGTTCGATATAAATCATAGATGATCGTTCATGGATGTATCGAGAATCACCCCAAGAATTGCGAAGGATGTATTATTATAACAGGGTTTAGGGTTTTATTAATTTCGCAACATCTATTCCTAGAAATTTTACTGGAGGCGGTATTAGGTGTCCATGCAGGAAGTGTAAAAAAAAAAGTATCTACATCCAGATGTTGTAATGATACATCTTCTACACAAAGGGTTTATAGAGAATTACCAGTGTTGGTATGCACATGGAGAAGTATATGTTAATGAGAGGAGAATGGACGAAATGGTGGTTGGGTCTACTTCTAGTGCTAGCAATGAGAATGACAACACTAATCCTTACAGAAACATTGTTATGGATGCAATGAGAATGAATCAAGATAATGTCAGTCAATATCCAATCATAGAAGAAGAACCTATTGTAGATGCAGCTAGGTTTTTTGATTCATTGAAAGATTGTGACGAACCATTATGGGATGGCTGCACGAACCACAATAAATTATCGATCGTAGCACAAGTGTTCACCATCAAGTCAGAGCACGGGTTGAGTGAGGCCAGGTATGACAAGATTATTGAATGGGCAAAAAGCATTTTACCTGAAGAGAACAGGCTGAAAGAGAACTTCTATACTGCGAACTCCATGATAAAACCCCTCAGTTTAGGATACCAGAAAATTGATATATGCCCTAACTTTTGCATGTTATACTACCTTGAAAATGCTGAGATGACCGAGTGCATGACATGCAGGCATTCCCGTTACAAACCTAGAACTGGTAGGGGAAAGACTCTAGTGGCATATAAAAAACTTAGATACTTCTCGAACACACCTAGATGCAGAGGTTATTCATGTCACCAAGGATTGCTGAGCACATGACATGGCACCAAGCACACCATGCGGTTGATGGAGTGATGGTTCATCCTTCTGACGGCGAAGCATGGAAACGCTTTAACAGTGTTCGTCCTCACTTTTCAGCTGAATCAAGGAATGTGCGTCTTGGGTTGTGTACAGACGGATTCAACCCATTTGGGTCATGTGCTGCTCCTTATTCTCGTTGGCCAGTCATACTCACAGTTTATAACTTGCCACCGGGAATGTGTATAAGGTCGGAGTTCATGTTTTTATCTACTATCATACCTAATCCAAGCAGCCCGGGATGGAATATAGATGTTTGTCTTCGACCGTTGATTGATGAGTTGGCGCAGTTATGGTCCTCTGGAGCTCTAACTTATGATATATCGAGGAAACAAAATTTCCTTATGAAGGCAGCTTTGATGTGGACTACCAATGATTTTCTAGCTTATGGAATGCTTTCTGGTTGGAGCACGCATGGGAAACTCGCATGTCCATACTACATGGAAAACAACAAGGCATTCACACTAGCAAATGGAGGCAAAGCTTCTTTTTTTTACTATCACCGTCACTTCTTACCACTTAATCACAAGTACAGAAAGAACAGAAAAGATTTCTTTGTTGGCAGAGTTGAAAAAGATGTTGCATCCCCGCGCCTTTCTAGTAAAGAATTGCATGATGTTGTCTTAGAGTACGGTGACATTGTGTTTGGCCTTCAATCAGGTAAACAAAAGTTTCCTGGTTTTGGTTTGACCTATAATTGGGTAAAGCGAAGTATATTTTAGGAGCTTCTTTATTGGAAGACCAATCTTCTCCGCCATAACCTTGACGTCATGCACATCGAAAGAATATGTTTAAGAACATTTTCAACACCGTCATGGATGTGAAGGGGAAGACAAAGGACAACATCAAGGCTAGATTGGATATAGCTTTATACTGTAACCATAAAAATATAGAGTTGGTTTATGATGAGTCACGGGTTGCAAAACCAAGAGCAAGCTTCGTGTTAGAGAAAAACACACAACTGCTAGTCTACAAATGGCTTCAGATTCTACGTTTTCCGGATGGACATGCATCGAACATATCACGGCTGGTTAATATAGAGGACTGCAGATTGTATGGAATGAAGAGTCATGACTGCCACGTGTTTATGAAAACACTCATCCCATTAGCTTTCTGTGATTTGTTGCCAAAGGGAATATGAGATGCACTCACGAAGACTAGTCATTTCTTTAGAGATATATGCTCCAGCAAGTTGAATATTGATCACATTGAGAGGCTTCAAATAAATATCGTCGAAATACTATGCAAACTTGAGATGATATTCCCTCCATTATTTTTTGACTCAATGGAGCATCTCCCTATACATCTACCGTTTGAGGCAAAAGCTGGAGGACCGGTCCAATATAGATGGATGTATCTATTCAAACAGTTAGATATTACAGTTGCAATGTAATTAATATATAAAAGTATTTTATATGTTTTTCTTAATTGAAAATACTTGATTAATATTTCAATACAGGTACTTGTTTGATCTCAAGAAAACGGTTAAGAACAAGGCGCATGTTGAGGCTTCGATATGTGAGGCCTATACTGTTGAGGAGATCTCAACATTTATCTCGTACTATTTCGAACCTCATTTGAGAATGAGAATCAATCATATTCCCTGGCATGATGATGGCGGTGAAGTGCCTTCCAGTGGGAACTTGTTAATATTCTCCAATACTAGACTACCTATACGTAAAAATGCCATAAGAGGAAGATATTTATCGGAAATAGAGTTCAAACAAGCACACAACTACGTTCTATTTAACTGTGATGAGCTGAGACCTTTTATTCAGTAAGTTTATACTAATTAAACTTTGTTAGTAATATACTGTTAATTATATATTGTAATATCATACACTCATTATCACTTGTAGGCAACATCAACAATATTTGCTCTCCAACAACTCATAGTTGACTGAATCGTAGATCTTTCAATTACAGGATGAGCAGTTTGCCACGTGGTTTAGAACACATGTAAGCACTATCACAAACTCATTCTAACTTGTAAAATTATTGTACGTATGCACGTCATTACGAGATTCTCATTCATTTACTATTTATTGATGTACATTACATACAAGGTTTATCAAATGGGAGGAAGAAAAAGTTTTAATTTAATTAGTTTATTTTTATCTCTATCAAAACGTTTGCTTTTATCTATAATGTGAGCGTGGTTTTTTATGTTATTATTATTGAGAATTTCTGTATTTATATCATTTCCATTTTTTGAATTGAAAGAAATTAGAATTCTCAATTCTCTACGATGTTTAGAGGATAAAAGATTTTCGGGAACAAGTAAATCATAATTATTTTTGTCTTTATTTCTAGTTAAACTTTGATTTATTACAATAGATTCGGTAAAATTCTTTTTATCAATATAGTTTTTTTTTCTGTATCTTTGATAAATTTGTTGTTTTCTCTTATGAACCAATAAAATATTTATGGCACCTAAGTCATTGTCTTCACTAACCCTGAGCCTCAAAGAAAATGTAAGTGCTACAATGGGTATTTTATCAATGGATATGTTTTCCATACTGAAGAATACGGGCAAGGAAGAAAGACATACAACAGCGGTGTTTGTGTTAAGGGATCCACTAGTAGTGAGTTAGAAGTTGACTACTATGATAGATTAGAAGAGGTCGTCGAACTGCAATATCATAATGAGCAGAATAGAGTGTTTTTATTCAAATGCTATTAGTATGACACGACTGACAGAGGAATCAGAGTTGATCTGCACTATGGTCTGGTCGAAATCAACTCAAAAGGTAGACTCCTCAACATAAATGATGTCTTTGTTCTCGCAAAGCAATGTCAACAAGTTTATTACACATACACCCCTTCATTTAGAAAGGATCGATCAAGAGTGGATTGGTTATTCGTTTTAAAAACGAAACCCCGAGGTCGTGTCGAGGTTGTTCAGGATGAGAATGAAGACACAAGTGTGCAAGATGAAGTCTTTCAAGTTAATGAGGTGGTTGAACCATATCGAGTTGCTCCTTTGATTAAATTGGAAAAAAATTCAAATTTTCATGTTTTCGATGATAGTCTTATTGATGTTGATGTAGAGGAGTTGAATTTTGTTTTGAGCCCTAGCGGACAAGCAATTGTCGATGAAGAAGATGATATTCATATTGAAGATTGTGATGAAGGTGATGACAATTCAATTGATGATAATGAAGAAGAAAATTCTGACTAACTACCAAAATGAAACCCTATGTAAAACCCTTTTTTTCATGTAATTTAGATTATGGATGATATATTTTGAAACACAAAATATTTATTACTTGAAATAATTAGTTGAAATGTCACAATTATGAAATAATTACTTGAAATAATTGTTGATCATGGATGATATATTTTGTAACATGAAATAATTACTCCAAATGCCACCACATCACCGACGGCCCCAAGGCCGTCAACATTTCACAGAGAGTTCGAAAATAATTACTTTAAATGCCACCACATCACCGACAGCCCCAAGGTCGTCGGCATTTCACAGAGAGTTCGAAAA